ACGTGGGTGCAGGGGGGCCGGGGTGGGGGCGCATCCAAGGGGGGGGAGGGAGGGCGAGGGCGAGGCACGCCGTGCAATGCGCGCGTTTCGCCGAGGTTTCGCTCCCAGAGCACGCTGGGGGCTTCCCAGCAGCCGGCCTGCTCACAAACCTTTTCTGTCAGTTTTAGGACGTATCCTCGACGGCATTCTTGTCTTAGCACTGCATTTGAATTGCCCACAAACGTGACGGCCGGTTATGACGCCAACAGCCCAAAGACCGCGGCTATCCCACAAACCCGGACAGCTGCTGCACGTCTTCCCGCCTGCACCGACACCCCGTCCCCCTCTTTCGCTGCATCCGCCCGCCCCATCATGCAGGCAGTGTCCCCTTATGGTGAGTGCCTCATCACCTCAGCTGCGTTGGCAGCCGGGCAGAGCAACATCGGGCAGGCCGCAGCCCTCCAGGGGCGCCACCCCACCCCATGACATCACACGCACGCCCACTGGCTTGGCTAGCGGCGCAAGCACGCGCACAACGCACACGATGCTCACGCCGCCCATGCAGAAAAAGGGCTTGCACAAGTGGCTTCTAGCGCGCACATTGCTTGCACTAGGCTTGAATTGACCCTCCTGAGCACAGCTTTGCAGCCGTCTCAACCATCCCCCCCGCCGCACGACAGCGCTGCACCCCTACAAACACACTCAACCCCACATGCACACACCCCAACAAACACACACACACACACACACACACACACACACACATATGCCCATGCCACACATACACACTTCCACATCCTTACAAAAGCATTGCCACAAACACACAAACACACATCCCCACGCCATTACACACATACACTCCCATGAAGATCAAATACACATCCCCACACACACAAACCTCCCGTTCATACACACACTTATCCCCCCACACACACACACACCCCGACACGCACTACCACCGCCGCAGGACATCATGCTACGCTCCACGGAGCGCGGCGTTGGCACCTGCACGGACGTGGCGCTGTACGCGATGCACGCAGGCGGCCGCATCCTGCCCTTCCCGCGCGACTGGAAGCGCTACGACGCGGCCTGCGGCGCCCGCACCGCGCGGCTGCAGCATGAGACCATGTACAAGGAGTTCCTCACCCGGCAGGCCGGCGTGCTGCACATGCAGCTCCTCAACAGCGAGCACATGTGGACGGCCGACGAAGCGCAGCATGCACGCATCGGGCTGTTTTTGTGCAAGACGCGTTTCTGCGCGATGCTGGTGCGCGCCCACGTGGCCGAGAAGAAGTGGGGCGCTGACGTCATCATGATGGGCCACTCCTCCAGCGACCCCACGGTGGACTTGCCGCCGGGAGTCAGCCGGGAGCAGGTGCGGGGGCTGGCTGTGCCTGGCGGGCAGGAGCAGTGAGGGGGTGCAGCCTCAGCCCCTGCGCACGTCCTGTTCCTCCATAGATGGCACGCGGTGCCAGGCACTGGAGTTTGCAGTGAGAGGCGCGAGCCTTGTGCGGATGCAGAGGCTGCTGCTGGCCTCTTGGATTCGTCCATGGCCGCCCTGCACAGGCAGGCCTAACGGCCAGGCCCCACCGAGCGACCGTAGCCCTCCCCCCATCGCGAATCATGAGGACACAAACCCCCGAAACGCGCGCAACCCCCCGTCCCACCCCCTCCTGTCCCCCTCCAACAGGGCGGGGTCCTCCATGTGAAGGGCAAGTCCGGCCTCAAGCACACGGGGCAGCTGCTGGAGTGCTGGGGGGAGCACCCCGAGTTCCCGACGCTGCACGTGGTGGGGCGCTTCACCCTGGACGAGGTGCGGGCCGTCGTCAACGCCAGCAACGTGGTGGTCTACCCCAAGGTGCGGCCCCAGAGCCTGGGGGCCCGGGATGGAGGGGGAGGGGCTGCGCCTCTTTAGGCGGTGGGGCTACTTTTGGGGGGGCAAGTTAGCGCGGACCTCAGAGTCTCACACGAGTCCTCAGGCATGGGGTTTGCTCTGGAACTGCTTGATCAGGGATCCCCTCCCCCTGCCCGCCACCGCTGCCCTTCCATGGTTGTCGGCATCCTGACCCGCGCCGCCCTTCCCGGGACCCCCCCTTCAGGTCACGGCGGCCGCCAGCAAGTCTCAGACGCGCCACATATCATTCCAGGACATACGCAACCTTCAGGCCCGCATGCCAGTGCACGTCTGTGCCAGCGAGCGAGAAGGTGGGGTGACGCGCAGCTGCCCTGCGACAGGCCGCGGCCCGTGGGCCGCGCCTGCTCCCTTAGTTGCGCAGTGGCAAAGGCGAGCAGCCGTCCTCCAGCCCCTGGGCGACTGCACCCGCTCCCCACCCTCTCCCGCTCCCTGCAATCGCCCCGCACCCTCAACCCCCCTTAGGACACCCGTCCTGCTCTTCCCAAATCCAGATAGCCACCCAAGCAACACGCCCCGCCCCCCCTCGCACCCCTCCTCCCAGGGTTTGGCCACTACATCAACGAGGCGCGGGCGGCCGGGGCCCTCATCATCTCCACCAACCACCCCCCCATGAACGAGCTCGTCACGCCCCGCAGCGGCCTGCTGGTGGACCCCGAGCGCACCTCATCCTACCCGGAGCAGGCGCTGCGCCGCCACGGGGACATCAACGCGTTCCTCTCCCCAGCCATCATCTGCGACGGCGTGGAGCGCGCGCTGCGGCTGCGGCGCGCCGACCGGGAGGCGCGCAGCGCGGCGGCGCAGCGGGCCTACCTTCGTGAGAAGGCGGAGTTTTACCAGCGGCTGCGGGAGCTGCGGGCCCGGCTGGCGCGGCGGCGGGCGGCGGTGGAGGGGGCCGTGGAGCGGTCGGCGGCGCGGAAGGAGCGAAAGCGGGCGGGCGGGAAAGCGGGCAAGGCAAGCGTGCCCCGCAAGCAGCAGCAGGAAAACGAGGAGGAGGAGCAGCAGCAGCAGGAGCAGCAGCAGCAGCAGCAGCAGCCGCGGCAGCCGCGGCAGCAGCAGCAGCAGCAGCAGAAGCAGCAGCAGAAGCAGCAGCAGAAGCAGCAGCAGAAGCAGAAACAGAAGTAAGAGTTGCAGCAGAAATCAAAAGAGGAGCAAGAGCAGCAGCCACAGGAGCAGCAGTCAGGCCAGGACTAAGCGCGGGGCACAGCACTGCTTGCACCGCCTGCAGCATGGTGTTGGGCGGCCTTCTTGGCAGCTTCCTGCCCAGCCTGTCGTCATCCTGCTACTGGGCCCATGCCGAAGGCATGCAGCCACGTCCAGTAAAAGGATCACGCCGCAGCCGCCGTTGCTCGCCAATTCTCCGTCGGCGGCCCATGCAATCGGCCGACAATGGCGTGAGCCACGTGCAGCCCACTGGGATTCTTTATCTACACAGCAGCCACCCGTCTTCCCCCCACGATTTCCCTCACTGGCGCACGGGTGCATTGCAAAGTGCTCAGTTGCCGCCGCCTGTTGCCGTCACAGGTGCATTCGTCTAGACGCTGGTTGTACCGGCTGTGCGGCCTGTTGCCAAGGCCAGCCAGTGAGGTAGTGCTGGAGGACTTGCGTCAGAATTGGGCTGCAGGGCCGCCCCCCAGCACCCTGGGTCCCGAGTAAGAGGGGCCCGCATGCTCACTCTGAGGCTCACAACACCATGTTCCATGATGTTGAATCGCCTGCCAGTTGCTCAAGTCGACCCAAGTTGCTGTTTCGTTGGCGCGTTGACCTTTCCTGCGGCCCAGGCTGTCTTGCAACAAGCATGCACCCAGCAAGCAGTAACGACTGCCCATTAGCCAGATTCCAGCCTCATGGCCTTGTGCGGCGCACGCAAGACCCGTGTAATAACGAGACACATGCGTCACAATTTCCCAGACTGCAAGTTGCAATGGCCTGCGTTATGGGACTTGATAAGCTCCTACACGAGCACCTAGTAGGCTAGCGCGCGGCATTATGCAGCAGGCCGTTGTATGCTCATAGCAAAGTTGTTTGTCGTGATTCAGAGGGTTCAGGCCGCCTCCAAGAAGCGCGACAGCGCGGCGAGGCCCGCTCGCAGCGCTTCCGTGGTGTTGCCGAACCCTACGCGCACGGCGCCTTCCACCCCAAACGTGGAGCCTGGCACGAGCAGCACGCCGGTCTCCTGGAGCAACCGCGTGCACAGCTCCTCAGAGCTCAGCTGACCGGGCAGGTCATAGTGCAGCAGGGCCACAGTGCCCCCACCCGGCCGCACCCACGACACGCGCCCCGCATGGCGCGCCACAAAGCCGTCCAGCAGCGCGGCGTTGGACCGCACCACCGCACGGTTGCGCGCCAGCAGCGGGCCCAGGCAGCGCGGCCCCAGGGCCAGGGCTGCCAGCGTGTCGTCCACCACGCCCACTGATATGGTGCTGTAGTCACGGTGCGTCATCACCTGCGTTGCATGCGCAGCCCCCAGGAACGGCGTGGCTCACCCAGCAAGGACACATGAAGCAGTACGGGCTCGCCGGTGCAGAAACCCGATTGCTGCTCAGACAGCAGTGATCCAGCCGACAGGCAGCGGGCAGCCACGCGCTGGTGACAAAACCAACCAACCAGCTGCCCCTGCCCGTGCAATCCGATGGATGAAGCTGTTTATAGCTGCACAGGTGCAGGTGCAGCCACAGGCCGTGCAACATTGAGACCAGAGAGGAGCAAGAGGAGCAAGGAAGACCCTACCCTGCCCTCCCGCCTGCCGTCCCCAACCTCCCCCCCTCCCCTCAACACCCCAAGAGTGTCGCCCCTCACCTCCCGCAGGACCTCTGGCGGCCCCACCACCCAGCCCAGCCGCACGCCCGCCATCGCAAACGCCTTGCTCATGCTGCTGACCGACACACCCCGCCGCGGGTCAATCGTCGCCACAGACTCCCCCAGGTCGTCACCCTGCTGGTCAATCCCGCGGTACACCTGGGCGTGGTGGGTGGTGATGGTGGTGGTGGTGGTGGTGGTGGTGGTGGTGGGGCCGTGTGATCGAGGCGGAGGAATGGGGGGGTGTGCGGGGTGACACACCGGGCCTGCAGGCGATGCAGCCAAGGCGCCCACGCATGAGGCAGCGCAATGGGACCCCCAGCTCGGACGCCACCACGCTGGCGGCGCCGCTTCTTGTGTCCTCCTCACGGTGTTGGGCACGCGGGCTGCCACGCGCCAAAAGGGCAGCCAGGGTGGTGCAGGCGGGCACTTGGGGGCAGGGTGTGAACCGGCAACGGCTTGCCACCGCCGCGCCCACCTCGTCAGCTAGGACGTAGCACCGGGGCCCACCACGCTCCGCAGCAATACGCAGGATCGCGCGCTGCGTGGCCGCATCCATCAGCGCGCCGGTCGGGTTGTTGGGGTTGGAGTAGCTGCGCCGCACGGCACGCATGGGGGCGAGGGTGGAGCAGCCAGCGCACATGGAGTGAGCGAGACGGGGCAGGGTAGCCGGAAACAATGTAGGCGCGTGCGCAGCTGCCACCTCTCCGCGCGCCTCTGTCCCTCCACCACTCCGTCCCCAGGTGGCGGGGTGTGCCGCCGCCCCGCACCAGATGACGCGCGTGCTCGGCGTGACGAGGGCGGCCAGTGCGCCGAGGTCTGGCAGGTAGCCGTCCTCGCGCCGCAGGGGCAGGCGCCTCACGACGGCCCCCAGGGCCTCTGGTATGGCGGTGTGCTGCTGGTAGTTTGGCACCAGCGCCACCACCTCGTCACCCGGGCCCACCAGGGCGGAGTAGAGCAGGTGGTTGGCGCCGATGGCTCCGTGGGTCACCAGTACATCGCTGGCGCCTTGGGGTGGGGTGGGGAGCGAGGGGTAGGGTGGTGGTGGGGGGTTGCAATGAGGTAGTTTGTCATGAGGCTTGGATGGGGGACCATGGGCATGAGGCGTGCGTTGGGGTCAGTCAGCAGGGTTACACATGCCACGCTCTGTCTCCAGCTTCCTGATTTCGATTTGCACGCCCTGACATTCCTGGATGCCCGCCCTCAACAGGCCCGGGCAGGCCGCGATCAGCCCCTCACCCCGACCAGCCCGTCACTGGGACCAGCCCCTCACCGCGACCAGGGTACAGGCTGGCGATGGCGCAGCGCACCTCCTGCGATCCGGGGATCTCGCCGTAGCTGCAGAGCGCGAGCCGTGTACGTCCGTCATGGCAGAGGGTGTGACATCAAACGGCTGACAAATTGCGAGCGGCACGCACCGCATCCAAGCCACCCCCATTGCGGAAGCCCAGGCGGGTGGAACCTCTATGCCCCCCCCCCCCTAATTAGACAAGTATGCACCTAAGCTTAAGCGGCAGCAGCCGCGCTGCCAGGGCCTCCGGCGCCTCCCCCGCCAGCCGCATCAGCTCCTCCAGTGTCACAGAGTCGACGCAGGTCTCAGCGCAGTTGAAGGTGCAGGCGGTCTCATGCGCGTCCATCCAGCGCTCCACAGCAAACGGCTCGATGCGCATCCTGGCGGCAGCGCAGCACACGCCCTGGAGCAGTCAAACGACCAGACGCGGGCGTGCGGGTGATCAGGATAGCCGCTGGATCGCGTGCAATCCAGGGGTAGCCAAGCAGACAGTGCACGGCCCAGGTCCTGTATCACACCGCTGGCCGAGGCACACACCTGCAGGCGAGCCGATGGCCACTTCAGTTTTGGCTGCCTCCCACTGATTGCGCTGCGAATCAAGGTGCACTGACGTGAGCACTCACGAAAGAAGCTTTATTGTATTGTCACAGCCCAGCTGTGATCGTATGGTATTGACACGGGCCAATATCACGCCGCGCGGCAGGTGACGGGTTTGATCTGGATCCCAGCGAACCAAATTGACAGATAACTGGCTAAATCACAGCATATGCTGAAGAATTTTTTATATGAAGCGATCCAGTGTTATCACGCGCCAATTAGTCTGCAGGTCGTACCAATTCCCACAGCCGGCGTCAGCGAGGAGGCCACTCTGCCACAGTGCGAGCCCGCCCACCACCTCAAAGACCACACAGCACACGCACATGGTACATGCCACTTACCCGTATGATAAATGTCCCACATGTATGACGATCTTACAAAGTTCCCGCCTACTGGATCCCTAACCCAATCTGAAGCATGTCCGACCAATCTCCAACGTGAGGGATGACACCAATCGGCCTGCTTGTGCTGTTTGGCCGTGCGTGAAATGAGAATGCACGTACAAAGGGCGATTATTGTGTAACGGCACGCAAGCAAAAGATTCTTGTGCGCGCTTGATCCGTTCTGTGCAGAGCTGTCCATCAGTGCTGAGCAGGGCTGGCCAGCCGTGCGGTCAAGCTAGCCCTACACTAGAGGCGGAACGAAAAGCGATACACGAGCGGGCACTGCACTTGAGGTCGACAGGGCGCCGGTGGTGGGTTGAGCAGCAGATAGGATGAGAGCCGAGAGGCGAGGTAGTGAGGTGCATGCGACTTGTGTGACAGGCCGAAGCGGGGTAGTGCACGGTGTGTGGAGTGACCCAATGGTGAAGCAATGGTGGGGCACTGTGGATGGGGGCATGCTACAAACAAATCCCCCCCCCCCAAAGCATCTGTGTCACTGCATCGAGTGCGCCCCTACAACCTCATTCCTGCTGTCGGCGTGATACTTGCGGCATGAGATTGTGCAAACTCTGTTTTTTCCCCAAGGGCCTCTACAGGCGCCTCACCTCTCAGTACCGTTGCAGCCTGGCACACGCAACTGGCCGGGTGATGCAGGTGCCGGGTGATGCAGGTACCGTGTGGGTTCTGTCATGCACAAAGTGTGGATGGTATGCATCATACTGCGCGCTCGCAAGCAGCTGTACTCATTTGTCCAGCATGGCACAGATATTTGATGGGCTGTGTTGGGCCTTGAGTGTGCTTGTTGAAGCTGCAGTCAAGGGAGGCAGGGAACTGCTGTTTGTCCTCCTCGCCCCACTCGCGTCCGAACCCCCTGTAGTCACATGACAGCAGTCAGGACATGGGAATCACCTTAACACAAGGTTATGGTGTGCTGAAGTATTACCACAGCAGTGCAGAATGCACCATGTGGGCTGGAGACACCCACTCACCCATCGGGTAACTGATGCAAGGTGTCGACGCTTCGACCGCATCCGCGTGTGCCGGCCACGTGAGCTTGGCTATGCGCGCATTTCCACATGTCACTGTGTCAATTTTGACAGAGGCGGGATCGGAATGCTTCTGCGGTGTCTGTGCTGGCCAGAAACAACGTTGATCATCATGATCTGACCTATGAATTCATTGATAGAGCGCATTTTGCATTCTTAGAAATTTGTAGGTTCCTGGGCTCCTGGAAGCCCTGGAGCGCTCGCCCTTTATCACCGAACGAGCAGTCGCCAGCACCCAGGGTGGGCTCCAAGTTTATCCAGGCAAAGAAACAACAGGATGAGGGCGAGCAGCGAGCGTGCCAGCAAGGATGGCGGAGACCTGGGACATGAGCGGTCGCGCGCCCCTCGCGTGATGGCTTCGGCGCCGTCGGTTGTGATGCAAGCAGCCCTCATGGACTCGGCGGGCACTGCATGGCACGCGGTCAAGGTCGGCAACCTTGAGGTGGGTGCCCACGTCATAGCGTCCGACACTACGCTATGCGGTGGGGTCAGACATGCGGATGTGAAGGCCTTTGAGCAGCGGCCCTGCCGCACACCACCATGGGCCGTGAGAGCGCGTACTCGGCAGTGCTGCCAGGTGCCATGCGCTCTGGCCGGACCGCAGCAGCCCGCGCACCCCAGGTCAGGTCCTTGCAGCTGCCCATTTCGCGCCGCCTTGCCGACGAGCCCTCGCCCTTCCAAGCGCTGCCGCCGCGCAAACAGCGGGTGTGCCTCTTGCGCGGCGTCGTGCCGGCATCTGTGAGGGCCTGGCCACAGAGCAGCCTGGCAGCGGCTTGCGACACAGGGCGAGCCCGGGCCCCAGCCGTCGGCCCCAAACCCACCCTTGCTATTCACTCCCTGTGTGCACTCTCACTGCGCCCCCCCGTTGTAGATGATCACCAAGCTGTTCCCGAGCCGTTCCAATGTGTACGCGCGCGGCCCAGTGGGCGAGAACGTGCTGCACACCGCCATGCTGCTCAACACGCCCTCCACCCTGGCCATAGCGCGCTACTTGGTCAAACTCTACGGCCCTCCCCTGGTCAACTGCCCCTTCACGGTGGGGCGCACACGATGTGTGCCTGCAAGCTCGTGCGCGCGGGTTTGGTCTAGGGGGGCAGTAATGTGGTGGAGGTGTTTAGGTGTCTTGGCAGTTGTGGCTGGCCGCTGCTTGGTGCCGCACCAGCGCGAGACACTGACTCCAAACTAGCGCTGTTGGGGTCGAGGACGCCAAGGTGGCGAGGCGGCAGCGGCGGCAGCGCACCGGCAGCGCAGCAGTGGCAGCGGCACCGGCAGCGGCTTTGGCAACGGCTGCAGCTGCAGCAACTGAAGCCGCACCTGCACGGCTGAAGCTGTGCTGCAGCTGCAGACGCGGCCGTGACAGTGGCAGCCGATGCAACAGATGAAGGAACAGCGGCAGCAGCATAAGCAGCGCTGGCGGCAGCTGCTGCTGCAGCAGCAGCAGCAGCAGAGTGGCATTCCCCTGGCTCGTGACAGCAGGCAGAGTATGGAGCCGTAACAAAAACTATCAATCCAGCCGCCCCCCCCCCCATCCCTGCCGTGATGCATCCACCAACCCCTGCTTGCTGCATGCCCCAGCGAATCTGTTCCTGCAAATGCCTCTGAGCCCCTCGCCCCCCTCGCCCCCCTCGCTTCCCAACCCGCCCAGGAGCGCAAGAGTGTGCACGATGCCCCCAGCTCGTATGAGGGCCAGACTGCGCTGCACATTGCCATCGTCAACAAGTGAGGGGGGGGGCTCGTGGTCTGGAGGGCTAAGGGGGGAGGGGTGAAGTGGGGATGGGGTGAAGCAGGGCTGGCACACCTTTGTGCGCAGCTGACCCGGCAATGGCAGCCGCGATGTCGTCTTGTGCATCCCATGCCCTGACACCCTGCTCTGGTTCCTCTTGTTACTCGGCACGTAGCTACCCCTTTTTATTACACCCACCACACGCACGCGTGCTTGCAGGCAGGCGCGTACACGCTCTCTCCCTCCCTCTCCCTTCCTCTCCCTCCCTCTCCCCCCCTCTCTCCCTCTCTCTCTCTCTCTCTCACACACACACACACACATACGCACACACGCACACGCACACACACACACAAACACACGCACGCACGCGCGCACACGGAAACACACGTAGAGGTTGAGAGAGCCACCCTCCCTTCTATCCCCGCACCTTTTCTCCCTCACCCCCCCCCCAAAAGGGACATTGACATGGTGAAGTTCCTGGTGCACGCGGGGGCTGACATCCGCGCGCGCGCCTGGGGCACGTTCTTCGGCCCCGACGGCCCCATGCACTACGGGGAGTACCCCCTCAGCTTCGCGGCCTGCACGGGCCAGAGGGAGGTGGTGGCGCACCTCAAGAGGCACGGCGCGTCGGTCAACGGCGACAGGGACGTCCAGTGAGCCAATGGCGGGGGTTGGGGGGGATGGAGGGAGGGGTGGCGTGCGGGCTGGTTTCACAAGAGGCCAGACCGAGTGCATCGGCCTGGAGCCATGCCCCCAGACTCACAGCGCTCACCAAAACACAAAGAAACACACATGCGTGCACGCACGCACGCACACGCACGTATGATCATGCGCAACTCACTTGCGTCACCTCATATCTGTCTACTCCACCCCCCCTCCCTCAGCGGCAACACTGCGCTGCACATGTGTGTCATCCACGGCCAGGCTGACATGTACGACTTCCTGATAGAGTACTGCGCAGGTGGGGGGGGTGCTTACACGAATCGGGGCGCTGCTGGGGGCACAATGTGGGGTGTAGGGCTCCAAGTGGCCGGGACGTTGCGGGGCTCGGGCTTGCAAGGCAAAGGGTTCTCCTCTAGGTGGGTGGCATGCGCGGGCAGTGTCAGCTGGCGTCATCATCGCCCCCCTCGCCTGCGCCCTCAAATGACCCTGCGCCCCCCAACCCCTCACGCGCGCACGCGTGCACTCACACACACACACACACGCACATATACACACACACACTCACACGCGCACACACAGACGCGCACACACACACACACTCACACACACACACGCACACACACACTCACACTGTAGCCAGTGATGCGGTGCGCAACTACGCGGGCCTCACTCCCCTGGTACTGGCGGCGCAGCTGGGCCGGGTGGACATGCTGCAGCACATATACAACAGGAGGAGGCGCGCATTCTACACGTTTGGCAAGGTGGACGCCCCGTATGGAGGGGGGGGGCCACGGGGGCGGCTGTCGGTTCATGTGCCCCTGAGGAGGAGGAGGAGGAGGCGGTGCTGACGGGGAGAGGCGTGTGTGCGCCCTGCATACTGGGGCAGAGCAAGCAGGCTGCTTCGGGCGAGAGTGGGGCTACTTGCAAAGTGATGTGGGCGGGGTCGCGGCGCCGGCCCTTGTTTCACGGTTTGGAGGCTAGCGGCGGCCAGCGCTTTGCCGCGCGTTGGCATCCACCCGTTCCCCTCCCGCCCTGGGTTGCTCCTGTGGCCCTTTCCTTGACATCCATGCCATAATTTGCATCTCTTTTGGACATATCACGCCTCAACCCTCTCATACCAAACCCCCCTCGGATCAACCCCCACCGCCCACCCCCCCCAGATCACGTCCTACAGCCTGGCCCTGCGTGAGATTGACACCGTGCAGGACGAGGAGGAGTACGTCCCCAACGCACTGGAGGTGGTCCTCCGCAAGGTGAGTGGGGGGAAGGGGGGCGGCGTGGGTGTGCATGTGAGTTGCGTTTGTGTGTATCCTATGTGTGTGTGTGTGGATGTGTCCTGCATGTAGGTGTTTGTCTGTGAGTCTCCTCTGTTGTGTGTGTCTCGTTGTGTGCATGCGCACGCGCGCGCGTGCATGTGTGTGTGTGCGTGTGTGTGTGTGTGTACGTAGTGGGGGGGTCTGGGGTGTGTGCGTCGCGCTCCAAGCTTGACCTGGACCGGTTGTTGGGCCGAGTGTGGTCCTCCTGGAGGTCGAAGGGCTGCCGTGATAACAGTCGGGGCTGTGCCTCAACGTGCGAGATTGCCAGTTACGAAGCGTCCCGCGCCCCACTCCCCCCCCCCCCCCCAAAAAAAAAGGGCCACCTCGACATGCTGGAGGAGCCGCTGATATCAACACTGCTGCAGCACAAGTGGGGGGCCTTCGCACGCACCCAGGTGAGGGAGAGGGCAGAGTTGGGTGCAAGGAAGGGTACAGGTCTGGGTGTAGAGAAGCAGGGAGGGCTGAGTGTGAGGAAGGGGGGGACAGGACACAGCAGCACCTGCGTGTGCCGCCATCAGTCAGCGACGGCCTTCCTTCCCTGCTGCGCGCCAAGCGCATACCTTTGGTGCGCACTTCTGCTGCACATCCAGCCACCACAGCACATCCTATGTCTCCAATTGTGTGCTATCTCTCCCGCCCTCCCCTCCTCCTCCCCCTCCCCAGTTCCTTCTCCACCTGCTGGGCTACCTGCTGCTGGAGGTCAGCCAGACGGTGCTCATCTGGCTCATATCCACGCGCGAGCTGTGGAACGGGGCCGAGAGGGCGAGCCAGGAGTACGTGGGCCTCACCCTGGCCATCATTATGGTGCGTGTGCGTGTGCGTGTGTGTGTGTGTGTGTGTACCTCTTTGTCCGTGCGCGCATGAGCATGTGCGTGTGCATCTAGATGCGGGGGTTCTGCTGGGGAGGAAGGGAGTAGGGGGAGAGTGTGCGGGGGCAGCTCATTGGGCCGGCTGCATTCGTCGTGTCCGACGGCTCTGCTAGGGCTGCGCGCCGCCGCCCCTGGCTGCCCGCAGCCCATGAGCCTGCGCACACGCACGCCCTCGCAAACCACTCTCCCGCCCTCGCAACCCCACGCACCCACCCCTCCAGGCCGGCTGTGAGCTGCTGGACTACGTGGACTGGTCCAGGGAGTGCTACCACCGCCGCCTCACAACATACCAGCCACCACCCTACCAGCCGCCACTCTACCCCATACCCGGTGCGCTGCGCCGCTGAGCGCGCTCGC